TTTTTTAACTTTTTTTTTTTATAGGAGAGGGGCAAACGAGCATGCGGCTCACCTGATGGTAAGTGACTACCGCCGCCCATGAACAACTGCAACACCAGGGGAATCGCAGATGCGTTGCTGGCCTTTTAAAAAGGAGTACGCTCTTTTCTTGAAGGTCCCTAAGTCGTATCGGTCCGGAAAAATCGCTGATGGTAATCGATTCCACAAGGATGTCGTGCGAGGAAGAAAACATCTTCTAAATCGCACAGTGGTGGACCGCCAATCATCCAGATGGTGTGGATGGTATCGGGAGTTCTGCCGCGATGTGCGTTCGTGAAATTTGGCGGCTGGGATTAATCCGAACAATTCCTCAGAGCACTCCCCATGGTAGATGCGAAAGAAAATGCAAAGGGATGCAACATCTCTTCGCAGTGCCAATGAATCGAGCCGATCGGAAAGGGCTCGGTCGTCGACAATTCGAGCCGCTCTGCGTTGGATGCGGTCAAGTGGAAGGAGCTGGCACTGGGGAGCCCCTGCCCAGAGATGGGAACAGTATTCCATGTGAGGCCGAACTTGCGCCTTGTAAAGTAGCAGGCGGTGTGCCGGCATGAAATACTGTCCCGCTCTGCTGAGCACGCCAAGCTTTTTAGAGGCCAATTTGGCCTTCCCTTCCAAGTGACCACGAAACTGCACGTCACTCGATATGTCGACTCCGAGGATACCGATACTGGCTGAGGCTAGAAGGGAAGTGCCTTGAAACTGAGGAGATACGACAAAGGGGTTCTTTTTAGCGGTAAACGCGCAAACTTGTGTCTTCTGAGGATTAAATTGGACTAGATTTAGTCGCCCCCAATCCGAGACTTTGTTCAGCAAGGACTTTTTAACTATATATCTTTAATTAGATAATATATATATATATATATATATATATATATATACATATATATCTTTAATTAGATATTATTTTACTTTTTTATATATATTTTTAACCTTTTCCTCTTTCTTGATATTACTTCACAACCACTGATTGATGTAGTATAAGCAGATAAGCTAGGTAGCTAAATGCTAATGCTGCTAAATATTTTTTCAGGCATGCTGATGAGATTTTCTATGCTTATGAGCATGCTGAGGATACTTGCTGTGTTGATGCTTAGCAATACAGCAAGTCTTCTCTTTTAAATACCAGGCTTCATTGTCTGGTGGTTTAATACCGGGCTTCATTGTCTGGTGGTTTTCAAGGACAAAGCCATTATAGATCCTAGCTTACAGTGATAGGAGGGGGCTATAGGTTTCTCACATTAAAAGCAATTTGTAATGTTAAATATATTAGATGCAAGAAATTGTAGTTTAAGCCTGAGCTAGAAAACAAGGTAAAAACTTAAAATAACAATTTTTATTGATGTGGGCAGTGTCTTTAAGTACTGCAGCTGATGAAACGTGAAAAATGGTGAAACGGCTTTTAAGTGCAGTGTTTTCCTAAGATATTTTAGATTTGAAGTGTATTTTTGTAATAGAAACGAAATCAAAAAGATAGAGGCGCTCTCTTATTAGATTTGGCGTTTCTCGATGCTGACCGATCAATCATATGCTATTATTATAGCAGCTAATGCACCGAGTGACGTCATCCAAGATGCCACCAAGGTGGCAACCAAAGTGACTGCTGTTTGAATTGATTCTTAGTTATTGGAAATTAAATATTTTATTTCATAACACTAAAGGGGCGTAAAAGTTAATATGATTTTTTTTCGTGTGATGGAAGTCATGATAAATAGATTTATACAACAAAACAATCATGTATATTCCCTATTATTATATCGAAAAGCATTTCAAACTTAGTAATCTTCAACAAGATTATCGATAATTTGATATAGAAACGGTAACATTCCTAAAACGACGTTATATTTATTAGCGTCACCTACTGGGGAATAGCTAAAATGTCGTCTTAATAAATGCTTATTAGCGTTGTTTTGTTTTTTTTTTAGCTACAGGGTGCCACACGCGCACTTACTCAAAGTTTTTGTATATAAATTTTCCCAATGCCCGCTCTATAGTGTACCTATATATTTAAATCTCTTTGTACTACTCACAGAACACAATTACTCTCTACCAAGAGGTACTACTGATCACTTTAGTTTGCAGTTGTATCGCTTCGAAGTATTTGCTTGCTTGTCAATACTGACTCGGTCACGGTCTTATTATATAGGGCCTCAGCTAGTTTCCAGAACCTTCTACTATAGAAATTTCTGGAATGTTTTCGACTCTCCTAGTTCTGCCACTCTATACTAAAGGGCGCTAGTGGTAACTAGTATTGCCATGTACCATGTATTAATCGTGGCGCGCAACAATACCATGCAAGGCAATTGTTACATCCAATATCTTTAACGTCATTCATTTCTGTGTCGCTAGTCAATTCCTCTTCACAGTTTTAGCATCTTACTCTGTTTATTGTACTTGTTGTATTTTTCTTCGTCTTTTTACTATTTTTTTATTTCTGCTTTCCTTTTTTGTAATTCTTTTTTCTTTTTTTGCCTTTCTTCTTCTTTCTTTACTTCTTACCTCGGCGGTTCTCACTGCCCATAACGTCGACCGACACGAGCTAAGCAGTCAGAGGGGAGGTTTGCATACCCGCACTCGGACAGGGGTTATATAGCTCAAAAAAATCCTCAACAGAGTGGACATGATGTTTGGTAACAACTAGCAATACCAAATCATCCTCATTCCCATCATTGCCTTTCCCTTTTTTAAATAGCTCGCGGTCTTGCAGGTGTAAGCCCTATGTCAGATCAAGCTGTAAGAGCCGCATAGACTAACAGCACCTACATCACAGAAAATAGATCGTCTTTCTTTGTTTTAGATTCAAATCTCTTAATTTTTTAAATTAATATATCGTTCTTTTTAAATAATTGTATTGAAGTTGAATTATTCTTCTATATATTATTGTTAGATTGCCATTGTATTACATAAGTTCTTTGAAATAAGTCGGCCTTGTCTATTTAATTTGTTTAAATTCCAGTTTGATCTTCATCTTCCACGTAGATCATCCTACATATAACTACAAAGATATTGAACCTGTACCTAGCTTATCTGCTTATACTACATCAATCAGTGGTGTTGAAGTAACATCAAGAAAGAGGGAAAGGTTAAAAAACTATATACATGTATATATGTAGAGACAATAGACAAAGAAGAGTTAAAAATGGACATGCTCAAAGAAAGTATAGGGTCTAAAATAATTCAACATATTATTATTATATTTAATATAATACAAATTCTCTGCCTAGTAAGTATATTAGCATTAAGTGATTTTCTTTCCATGCACATTAGAAAAAAAAATGTTTTGCAATGTATTAGAGGTGGATAGCGAGGAAGAGTTTTGTAAAACAATTTTAAGTGTGAAAATTGTATCCCAGTTTTGCATTCTCAGCATAATGATGTAAAATCGTTAATATATTTAATTATATCTTTATAAAGATAAAAGAGATTAAATTTACTCATCAAAATACGTGATGGACATATATTTATTTTGAGTAAATATAACGTATTAAAATCTTAATAAAATCAAATTACAATTTTTTAAAAACGTTACCTATTTTACTTATTAGAAGCCAGTACTTGACCTCAATCCCACCTGGCGGTAATTGGTGATGCAGCCCTACATGGTAAATCGCACTGTCTTAGCGTTACAAAAGCCTATTCGCTCTTGCCTTGAAGACGCTCAGATTGTATTCGGACGGAAAGATGGACGCCGGCAAATTATTCCACTCTTTTGCTGTATGCATTACAAAATCGAAGCAAACCGTTTGGTTCTAAGGCGTGGAATATCGACAACAAAAGGGTGAAGACCCGCCGACCGCCTGGTCGTCCGATGGTGGAAAGGAGAGGGAGGAATTAAAGTGCAATTCCTGGGCACACTCACAGAAATGCATCCTATATACAATCCGGAAAGTGGGAGCCAGAGTATTTCTTTTTAGCGATGAAAAAACACGCTTGTGTTTTGGAGGCGTCGAATCTCACGAGATTGAAACATCCAGACCCAGAACAATTATTTATAGGCCATACAAATACTTGTTCCCTGCGGGAATGGAACCAGCAGCCCTTAGCTCTGCAACTCATTGCGATGCCACAGCACCACGGAGCCGTCAATTAATTGTAGGATCTTAAATAATTTTTAGTTACATTTGTTTTGTTACGCTAAAGAAGTTATCTTACGTGCGTACATAAGTACATACACACGTTTTTTTAGAATTTTATGTCTTAATTGCTTCATTCATGTGATTATAGATCACATATATTACATATATCACCTATAGTTTGATTATTTGAGTTAGTTAAAGCAGTAGGCCTTATTATCCTACAATAGTAAAATTAGGCCTACTAGCAAGGTTTTTAGAAATATTTAATTTTGTTTTTCTTTGTGGCAAATGTTACTATTTTTCATTCATACTTTATAGAAAGTAGAAACTGTACTAAACCAATGATTTTTATCAAAATCTGTAGACCAAATGGGATATTTTTCATTTTATTTCGAATTTCCCTTAGCCAGGCCTTATTACCCGCATGTACCTTAGTATTTTTATCTTACCGATGGCGAATTGTATGTAGCACTTGTAGTGTAGATAGATACACATACATATTATTTGTGTGGGTAAGCTCGACAGTCAAAAATTATAATCGAGAACCGTTAAAACAAAAAGTAATTGGCAAAAAGTTGTTCGCAATGATGTAAGAAAATAAATAGTTTGTCCTTGCTCCCGTAGTGAATCGGGACATCTGAGGTAATGGTTCATCCTCCATCCCTTAGGTGCATTTTACCGGTATTTTATTTTTACGGCAAGTCGACAACATGGCGGTCTGTCTTGAAATTTCGAAAGATCAACGGATCTTTCAATCATTCATCAATTAAATCAACCAAAATTGAGTAGGCTTCCCGGGCTGATAAGGAATGATGATGATGAAGCTTAAAAAAAAGTTTCAAAAGTTTAAATATGTATGCTATTATTTCTAAAATAAAACCACAGTTTAGTAGAACCTGCATGATATTTATTGAAAAAAATCATATTTATTTCTCTTTATTTAAAACCAACGCTAGTGCGCTAATAACATTGAAGTCTCTGGTTCAGATGGAATAAAATAATAATGATAAAATTTAGAATCATATAGGAACTTTGTAGGGTTAACATAATTCTTAAATCTATACAAATAATTAAATCCTACACTGTGTATACCTTTAGAAGTTCATATTCTAAATGTTTTTTTATTTACGTAAACCATCGGTACTGTTTATCTGTTCGTAAATGCGAATGTAAAATGAAAACTATTGAGTCTATTGATATAGAATTCAGAGAGGTTGTTCAAAGTAACTCTGAGGACGTCTTAGTTTTGTATGTGTTTATTGCATGACTATGTGTGTCACTACAAGTGTACTTACTTGTACAACTTCTTAATGAGTTCAAAACTTCTGCGCGAAGTCGTGGTGGAGCTAGTTTCTACTAAAACTTTTATGTACACATATATACTTCTCAAAATAATGGTAACAATTTTAAAACCAAATAATTTATAAAAAGGCACCAATACTTGGTCCAGCATAGCTTACTCCGTTATGATTAATAGGGAGTGAAGCAAATCCAAAAATAAAAACACACTATTCCATCTATTACAAGCGCCAATAAATATTGAATAATACCATTTATTTCTTTTTGAATTGGGTATATTAAAACTACTGTTATAAATATATAAAAATTCGTTAAAACGTTACTGTAAATGTGTAAGGCCTCTTATGATATTTATGTTTCAATTATGCAAATATAGCATATTATATTTAGACACTGTAAACATTCTATTTTACTTGCGAAATTCATTGATATAAAATAATAAAATTATAATAAATCATTAAATGCGACTTCACATTAAATCCCTTATAAAATACTCGGTGCAGTTGTCGTTAAAAACAGAAATTTGTTCACCGTACCTTTTCTTACAAACCAACAAAGGAAGATAGACGCTGTGCACATTTCAGCTGATGACAAAACCATGTTCTACTTGACACGTACTCACGCGCTTATCTTTCTTCATTCATTGTTTATCGGATTCTAAAGATTCAACCGTAGCACAAGCATACTCGTATGCACCTTAAACCATGATGTTGGTTGCAAATGATTTTAGATGCATATGTTGTGTAAGTGTGCTCTTACAATAGATTGAGCATGGTTGTAGCTTGGTTTTTGCGTTACCCTACTGGAAATGTACGCAACGCTCCGTCTTTATATCTTTGTTAGTCTGAGCCTTTAAAATGTATAAATAATAAAATCAGGTTTCCTGCACCTTTTAATATTTATACGTTTTCGCTCTAAAAGTACGTTATGAAACACACTTTTATCGGTAAAAAAATTTGCTGTCATTTGAATTATATTGTGTACTGTTATCTGTGTTTCTTAAAACATTGTAATTTTTTTTATAATATCCACGCCCAGTCTTAATGGAGACTAACCATCTGCTTAGGACAGGGTTATAATGCACATGTGTGCACAAAAGCATAGGTTCATTCTCTATTCCCTCACTCTTATAGTCCGATGGGGCGGCCGTCCGATACGACCGGAGAGAGATCAATCGCTGGGCCAACGGCTTTACGTGCTTTCCGAGGCACGGGGGTAAAACACCGCCGATTACATAAGAATTTCTTGACAGTGAAACCCAATAACTGATATGGCCTTATTAATCATTTTTATTAATTTATAAACTTTATTTAAGGTTTCAGTGACACAGATATCATTATACAATGCTATTTGCAGAGATCACATCTTTTTCTTAGACCCAAAAAGTGACGTTATTATTTTACATTAATGCGGCGGGGGGGGGGGGGGGGTATATATTTTTGCCCCGATCTCCCCTTTACTCTCTATGAACGATGATTTTCCAAAAATAAATTAAATTTTAAAAACTATACATCTATGCGCGGTAGACATGTACACATACGTGACATAGTCATTCATTCATTTCTAATGACCCGATCATTAAGTATTGATTTGTCTTACGAACCGGATCATACGGGTCGATAATTCAAATACCTAGATTATTTCGAGTTTCACTACTCAGTGTTCTGTGAGACCCGAGACTAAAATGTCGGTCGTCGGACATTACTATACTTTTTGGTCGTAGTTCTTGTCAACTTGTCTTGTTTGATCGGGAAAGTTCAAAAAATGTAATTGCAATCATCAATACTTGGCTGCCTACCGGGTCAAATGAACGACTCATTCACGTGCCTACTGCGCGTTCCCTAAGGGAGAGAAACACCTTTAATTTGTCAATATTTTGCCATAATTATTACAACATAAGAATTCTTTCTTCACCACAAACCGTATTAAAGTTATTTGGCCGTAAGCATTCAGTCATCGTGTACCATACATTCATCGATATTAGTTTTTTATAATTTTTTCATAAACACTTAATCTGCCACATTCTTTTTCTCATGCAAATTGTCTAATTGGGAATGCAAACGAAATTTTAATCTTTGTAATCACATAAAATAAAAACAAAGGTCGTCTACCCATGTAACACTCGAGGGTAGCAAAATAAGGCGCAGCCTTAAAACGTTACATAGATAATTAACACCACACATAAGCGGGGTCCAAAATCGGGCCGCCGTGCAGGTAGTAGATTGGACTTTTGAAAATAGCTCTAAACAAGTATTAAAAATAAACTTACATAGTAACCTAACACTAACTAACTATCACACGTTAGTTTACACTCACTCAGACATCACATTGCATAAATATCAGCCAGAGGTTGCAAACTGCGCTTTTTATTACGCACTATACACCTTGATTATACTTATAACTGCGTCTTTGGTACCGAAGACAAGAGCGAACATGCCGAACAGAAGAACCAAAATGTTCTTCCAAATGAGATAGTTGTAGGGACCGTAGCCGATTTCCCAGAAGGTGATAATTTCGATGAAGGCTGGTGCTATCAATCCCAGCAGGGAGAAGCAGAAGGCGCCGATGACTCCCATGAACGGTGCTATGGTCGGGACCGCAACGGCTAGCAGAACGCAAACAGTGACCATTATTGTGCGCATGATGTAGTCGGCCAGGTCTGGTCGCTTCGTGAATTTGTCCTTTATACAGTTCCACATGATGTCGACGCACACGAAGAATTGAAGTCCGAATGTGCAATAAACAGCGACGGCAATGGCGATTTGGACGATTTGGGCTGGGCTGAAATATATAAACAAATTAATAAATAATAAAAGCTAGTAAAACAAGTATGCCTAGACATAATGATAATTTTCCTTCTGCTGCCTAACAGCTAGCATCGGAATTCTTGGCCTTTCGAGACACGTACAGTTTCGCAGTTATTTTGAAGGGAAGGCTCAACTGGCGGCAAGAAAGCTTGTTTCAATAGATCTAGACAGTATTTCATGCCGGCTTACCGCTTGCAGCTTTACAAGGCGCAGGCCTCATATAGAATACTGTTCTCATTTCTCAATCATATACCATGGGAAGTGCTTAGATGAATTGTTCAGATTAATTCCAGCTTCTGAATTCCACCATCGCAAACTGCGATAGAAGTCGAAATTCCATCATCATCATCTCGATCGTTGGCGATCCACTACTGTGCTATTTACGCGGAATTTTCTGCCTCGCACGACCACACTGTGGAATTTATTTTCGCCAGTGGTTTTTTCGGATTTATACGACTTAGGGGCATTCGAGAAAAAGCCTACTCTTTTCTAAAGGTCGGCAACGCACCTGCAATTTCCCTGGTGTTGCAAATGTTCATGTGCGAGGGTGCTCGCTTACCATCAGGTAAGCCGAATGCTCGTTTGCCTCCTATTCTATAAAAAAAAAAAACAGGGAAGGACCAGACTCACAAAATACCAGCGTTAATGGTGGTGTGTTTCGTATAGTGAGATTAGGGATCCGGTGACCTTTTTCATGGTAAAGAGGCATATTATTCCTCAGGGGTGAGAACGCATCTATATTTTGATTCTGAATCAGGGGTAGATGTAGACGTCTACGGCTCACAGCATCCACTTACCATCAGGTGGTCTGTGTGCTGGTTTGTCACGCTTATTCTACTAAAAAAATGCCATTAGACAGTTTGCAGCAGATATCATTTTACAAATAAAACAAATATAGTTAATATACTTACATATGATCTTGTTCCAGGTTAAGGTTAATGGAGTCCTGAACGTCATCGCCGTAACGTAGATATCCGAGAAATCCAAGGAGAATGTACACCAGCGTTACGCCGGACATGCCCTTGTTGAGAACTCCGCAGAAGCCGAGCATTGACCGGGGAGTCTTCATGGCATTCTCTAGAGGCATAACCACGCCAATGGCTTCCATGGCAAAGATGGTCAGTGAAAAGAACTCGGGCCACTCCACCGGTGGTTTCACAGCCGTCACCTTGTCGAAACTAAGACCGCCAGTTCCAACTAAATAATAGAAAGTGATTCCAAGACCGACACCCATGAACAAATTAGCAATCATGGATACGGGCGCCAGGTATTTCAGGTTGCGAATCCACGCCATCAATATAAGTGGCAACAGCAGGGCTGTTATGAAAATTCTAATCCCGAGAACATCCTTGTGATCTTCCATATAATGAAGTACCACCTGCAAGAAACAAGCCATTAAATATGGGTTCCAATTGTTTTATAATAAATTTTTAACTTTTACTACATTCTACATTATATGTTAATCTTATATTATACATTGTAAAGTTTAATAAATTATTGGTAGAAACCAAATCATAGAAACCAATATCATTATTACAGTCTTTCACAAGGAATGCCACAAAACAATATTCCTGAGTCATCTGCGTCCACTGACTTCCTGCATATCTCGCCAAGTCAATAATACGCTGGGAAGGCATTCCATCTTAGTCCTCAGGGATGACAACGCACGTGTATCCTTCTTTCTATAAAATTAGCTGCTGATGTCAATGAACCGCAGTAACCACTTACCATCAGATGCACTGTAAGGTTTTGCGCTATGTCGGTTTCTCTGGTTCTACAGCGGATATCCCCATTACGAATTCTATCACACTGAGAATAACTCTCTTAATATCTCGTCGACTGATTTTCTGCATCGTAATACTCAAACTGTTAGCGGTGAAGGACCACGTTTTAGATACATATATCATCACTGGCAACAAGCACTGGTTGTACACCTTAGTCTCCAACTTTTAAGGTATAAGTGAAGAGAAGTTACACTTGATGTCAAAAAATTATGACTTGGATTGGTTGTAGGTTACAGATATTTCACATTACCTGCGATATATTTGTGGCGACGATCACAGTATATACGGAACACGTACCGAAGTACGTCAAGAAGAGACTCACGAGTATAAAGATTCTGGAACAACACAAACAAATTAACTGTCTTGTTTAAAAAAGAAGTGTTAATTTTATTTTTTCTAGTTCATCAGTACCTAAAAGTCTACTGTTGAATGTGTTTCTGCCGTTGTTGGAAGAATTTACCATAATCGTCCCATTGGCAGGCAGACTGGCGATTGCAGTATCCGTGGGGTTAGCTAAGTTGACTTTGTACTATCGCTAACGTTAATAGAAAACTTAAATTGTTAAGCTGAAAATAGTTTCGCGGAGTAAGAACAGTGTTAGTAGTACGAGACGTCGCATCGCTCTGCGCCATAGACCATTTCGAGTCGAAAAAGCAGGTGTTTACGGGTACTTGTTTTTCCTGGCCCTACAGTCTCTACGTAACGGATGGGGGGGGGGAGGGTTAATGGCGCTAAAGGAGATTAAAAAGTGGGTGGAGGTCCCCTTACGACATAACTCGTTAAAATTAAATTACCAACCTAAAAGAATTAGCCCATCGCCGAGCCCACTGAGGCCCATTTTCTAGTGCGGATTCCGCTACTTCTGGGTAACTCATGGTAGTTCTTCTCGTCTTTTTATACAACACGTGGGCGCATTTGATCTGAAACAAACAATTACACACGTAAATAAAATTAAGTTTTTAAAAACAAGTATTTAGATAGCTGCACAATTCAATGTTTTTAAACGACGACAAAATAAATATTTTCGAATTAATTAGTATTTTCTTTTTATATAATGTGTAAAGTTCAAGTGCTCTATTAGATACGTAAATAAAATTAAGTTTTTAAAAACAAGTATTTAGATAGCTGCACAATTCAATGTTTTTAAACGACGACAAAATAAATATTTTCGAATTAATTAGTATTTTCTTTTTATATAATGTGTAAAGTTCAAGTGCTCTATTAGATACGTAAATAAAATTAAGTTTTTAAAAACAAGTATTTAGATAGCTGCACAATTCAATGTTTTTAAACGACGACAAAATAAATATTTTCGAATTAATTAGTATTTTCTTTTTATATAATGTGTAAAGTTCAAGTGCTCTATTAGATACGTAAATAAAATTAAGTTTTTAAAAACAAGTATTTAGATAGCTGCACAATTCAATGTTTTTAAACGACGACAAAATAAATATTTTCGAATTAATTAGTATTTTCTTTTTATATAATGTGTAAAGTTCAAGTGCTCTATTAGATACGTAAATAAAATTAAGTTTTTATAAACAAGCATTTGTTTTAGCTTCGCAATTCAATAAAGTTTATAAAAGACGACTAAATAAATATTTTCGAATTAATTAGTATCTTCTTTTTATATAATGTGTAAAGTTCAAGTGCTCTATTAGATACGTAAATAAAATTAAGTTTTTAAAAACAAGTATTTAGATAGCTGCACAATTCAATGTTTTTAAACGACGACAAAATAAATATTTTCGAATTAATTAGTATTTTTTTTTATATAATGTGTAAAGTTCAAGTGCTCTATTAGATACGTAAATAAAATTAAGTTTTTAAAAACAAGTATTTAGATAGCTGCACAATTCAATGTTTTTAAACGACGACAAAATAAATATTTTCGAATTAATTAGTATTTTCTTTTTATATAATGTGTAAAGTTCAAGTGCTCTATTAGATACGTAAATAAAATTAAGTTTTTATAAACAAGCATTTGTTTTAGCTTCGCAATTCAATAAAGTTTATAAAAGACGACTAAATAAATATTTTCGAATTAATTAGTATTTTCTTTTTAAATAATGTGTAAAGTTCAAGCGCTCTATCATGGCTGTATTGAAGTTAGTCGCAAGTGGCTGCGCAAATATAGCTTTTAGGAACAAAATGGTGACAAGAAGCGGGTAATGCGGGCGTATGGAGTGTAGAGTAGAAGGAGAACCATCTTATAAGGTGCGAAAGTTGAAAAAGTGTCCCAATATATACTGAAAATAGAGGTTCCAAAACCTACCACAATAGCGCTGGCGTCTGAAAAACTACGATATGAATATAGCTGTTGTAGACGGAGTGAAGTCAGCTGAATTAAAATATTTAAAAAATTTCATGACTAGAGTAGTTAGTAAAATGCCAGTATACAAAACCTCAACTATTTACGTAGTACAAAACCAAGCGGATTGGTCGGTCCTTGTTTATTTCTCCATCTTATTCTAATATATTTTGGCGCTTTTTTTTAAATTTATCCTATGCTACTGCAGCGCCACCCTTATTGGACGCGTTTTTAAGGACACTTTTCATATACAGAGATGGTCCTCCTTCTACTCTACACTCCATATGCGGGCGGTAACTAAGAATAGAGAATGAATGCGCATATTGTGCTGTTACAATTACGTAAATACTCGATTAAGGTTATTATTGATTACCTATGATTTGATTTGATTTTATATCTTCTTTGTATTGATTTTTTAAATGAATACCAATGCCAAACAAATTATATATTTTTCTAGTTTTCTTATAGTTCTATATATTTGTCAATTTCTTGTTGAGTTTTTATATTATATGAGAATTTAAAATTATTTTAGAACCCTTTGGTATATTATGTGGCAATATAGAAATGTTTTCTCAAATATTTTTAATAACTTAATTTATAAAACTTTATAGTATGAGGCCTAATAAATTACTGCATATATATTATAGTACTTTATAGTAGGAAGTATTAAATTTTTTTTTGGTAGTGTAGAAGAAATTGCTATGTTGCAACAAGTCGCCTTTTGTTGTCGTTTAATATTTGTAAATTTTGTTATATTTTGTTTTCTTAATGTACAATAAAGAGTATATACAATACAGTATTGTAGTGCAGCATTATTGCACGCCTCATAAAGGGAAGCGTCATTAGGTAGTGTATTACTCTTGACACGTCAAGGTCAAGCAATTTTGTATTCTTACAATGCCTCTATCATAACCATATTGCACTTATACGATAATACGAATAGCCGTATACAAAACAACGTATATAAAAAAACACTAACTTGGGTTAGTTAGTGTTTTTTCTTGTAGGTATTTTCTAATAAATCATTTTATATTGCTGCTTTGATAAAAAAAGGTTTGAAAAAATTTAACGTGGACGTCCGGATGTTGATTTTGTATGTGGTCACGATAACTCCCGAAAAAATTGACATATCGAGACCGGGTTATTTTATTAGTTTCAGAATTACGACAACTGGTTCCCCATTTCATATCAATAGCCCAGTACACGTCGTCTGTTAATAAAATGATTTTCAAGTTTTGTTTATTTTATTGCTACTAAAAATTTAAAGGCGCTTTCATTTTCTTCTTTAGCCTAAGGGTCCGTTCACACAGACCGGCTCGGAGAGCATCGGCCTGCTTTTTTCTTTTCACACAGACCGGGTCGTATACGCTTGGAATTGGCCGGAGCGGAGCCGCCAACTATTTCACATCGACCGGCTGGAAGAGATCTGAAAGCGGGTGCGGTTGGATGTGCTCGGAGCCGGTCGGATGCGCTCGGAGTCGGGTGGATACACTACAAAGGCAGTGCCAGTATTCCGCGCAGTCTAAGTTTTGTTTTCGGTGTGTTAACGTGTGCTTTTCGAAACATGGATTTAGATAGCTCCGACGAAGAAATATATTTGTTAGCAAGATTACTTGAAATAGAACATAGGAAACGTAAGCGCAAGCGGAAACAAATATGGGTAAAACATATTTGGAAAAACAGACTAATCCATGGGGAGTTTCACACCATTTTCGAGGAATTGAAGAGAGATAGCCTAAAATTTTATGAGTATTATCGTATGGAATATTGGCAATTTTTGAAATTGACAGATTTGTTAAGAGTACCTATAACAAAAAAGACTACAAATTATCGTTGCACCATTACAGCCGAAGAAAGGTTAACGGTAACTTTAAGGTAAATAAAAAACAATTATTTATACTAATCATGTTATTTAGATCACAAAATCACAGCCCTCCATTTATTAAGCATTGTTTACGTTAATGAAATGTAAATTACTTATACTAATCATGTTAAATAACACAAACATCTAAATAGATCACAAAATCACAGCCCTCCATTTATTAAGCATTATTTACGTTAATGAAATGTAATTAAATAGTACAGATTTGTGTGTGTTTAATTATTATTATTATAATTATTATTGTTTTTGATTGTTTATTATTTTGTATTTTGTGTGCTGGTATTGTACCCGTAAGTAGTCTGATCTGGATAGTTTTGAGGAATATAGGTTTCGTTTGACACTAGGTAAGTAGATTGATTAGTCGATGGCGGTGAATTTATAGACAAAGAATAATTCAAATCTGTACTATTTTCATACAGACTTAATTCAGCTTCATTAACAATGTTAAACACGCGCCTTTTAATTCGTGCTTGGACTTCTTTTGGGAATGTTTCCACTGTATCTGACATAGACAAAAAAAAATTACGTAATGCCTTGTCACGGGGTGTAGTATTTCTTTTTTCTTCAAGATACTCTTCGAAAACCGTAGCAACATCTTTGCTTAAGCGTGGTCTCTTTTTCGAGCCAGAAGTACTTGCAAGCGATTCAACTTCAGAATGGTCAGAACGTTTAGATGATGTCGATGGTGGTGGTATTGGTGTGCCAGGCTCTGAATCATCCGATGATAATGTTACATTAGATATTTGGTTTCGATTGCGAAAAAATGGTATTATAAAAGAAAGTTCTTTTTCAAATTTTATCAATTTGGACGTAGTTGCACCATCGCCACTCTTGCCTTTTCGGTTATAATAGGCTTTTCTGAAGTTATCTCGCAGTTTCTTCCAACGATCCTGGCACTGCGTCACTGGAAAGAACAGAAATGAAAAATTAATAACATAACTCTTTTTTATTTTATAGTTCGTTTTGGTACGGCAGTCTTATATTTCTATTTTGTGTGTTTGTTTTATTTTTACAGATTCCTCATCACTGGTTGCAGTTTCAAAAACTTGTCATTTAATTTTCGAATGGGAATTTCTACAGTTCATTCAATTATTCATGAGACAATCAGAGTAATTTGTGATGTTTTGATGCCCATAGTTATGCAGATGCCAGATGAAGAAATGTGGGAAAAGGTTTCACGTGATTTCTTTAATATTTGGAATTTTCCTAACTGTTTGGGCGCTATAGACGGAAAGCATGTCAATATACAGGCACCAGATAATAGTGGAAGCTTATACTATAATTATAAAAACTTTTTCAGTACAGTGTTACTAGCTGTGGTCGACGCGAAATACAGTTTTTTAATTGTTGATGTCGGATCATATGGTAAAAATAGCGACGGCGGAATTTTACAGAATTCAAAATTTTGGAAAAAACTCAACACCAATAAGTTAAAGCTGCCCCCAAATAAACCTCTACCTAGTACCACTGAAAGCTTACCACATGTTTTTATAGGAGACGAGGCATTTCCTTTGAGCAATAATATATTGCGGCCGTATCCAAGAGAACAAGCAAGAACAGAATTATCAAAAAAAGTATTTAATCTGCGTTTAAGCAGGGCAAGAAAAGTCGTAGAATGTGCATTTGGAATGCTAACTCAAAGATTTGAAATTTATCAAAAACGAATGAAAATTCAGCCGAAGTACTGTGATTTAATTATATTAGCAACTACATGTTTACATAATTTTTTAATAGAAAATCGGACGCCAGGACAAGAGAATGAATTTCACAGCAATATAAATTTATTAACAGCAATAACAGACAATAATAATGAAAACAGTTCTAATAGCGACGCAGTTCTAACCACAAGGAATAAATTTAAGGATTATTTTTCATCAAGTGGTGCTTTAGATTGGCAAGATCAAGTGGCTACGCGAGTTTCTTAAGTTATATTTAATAAAAATTGTCTACTACATAAGTATATTCTAACGATCAGATACTCAAACGAGTTTTTAAAGTAAGGGCGCATTTAAACTCATGTTATTCCTATTTTGACTTTGAATCTAACACGTCGCAGCACGAGTTTAAGAAGCCCTTGCTTTAAAATTCGTTTGAGTATCTGGGGGTAGGTGTAAAACAATGAAAACCTTACTTACCACTTATTCCGAGACATTTGCTAATTTCCTCCCATGCATTGTCTTTCATTATCCGATCGCTATATGATGGCTTGGTTATGTCAAATAAACACTCATATTTTGACACGAGTATTATTAATTTTTCATCATTCATCTTTTCGTACAAGTACGCACAACTATTACGTTCAAATGTTGCTATCAAAATGGCGGTCGGCGCGGCCGCAGCGGGCACGCAATCGGAGCCGATCGGCTACGCGATAGAGAAAGAGCACGCAATCGGAGCCCATCGGCTGCGCGAGCGAGAAAGAGCACGCAATCGGAGCCGACAGGCTGCGCAAGCGAGAAAGAGCACGCAATCAGAGCCGATCGGCTGCGCGAGCGAGAAAGAGCACGCAAGCGGAGCCGGTCGGCTCCTTTTATTACTTCACACGAAGCGCGTTCAGGCATTTTTAATGACAAAAAAGGTGCAAATGCAAAAATAAACTTTACTACAATCACTCAAAACACTGTTTCCAACGTGATAAAAATCTGCTCTCCTCTCCGAGCCGGTCTGTGTGAACGGACCCTTAGACAGACATTATCGACTTTATACTTCGTGTAAAAGATTTATTTTGGTAATTAATTTTATTAATTAAAATTAAATGAAACGCTCACGAGGCGTGTACTTTTGGATTTTCCAAACTATCTTCATGTTTTGTCTTCATCCTAGGAGTGTCTATCCCTCAGGGTGAGTACTTCTTATCTTTTCCTTCCAGAGCATCCACACAATTTTGTTTTGTTTCGAGAGATACATATAACCACCATAACATGGTGTAGAACATATCATTTTAGTACTCCGGGTTGACTCCTGTAGCTAGCTCCTCCTCCTAACTAATAACATAGTTAGCCTACTAGAGCCATTATGATAACAAAATTACGTGGGACTAACCTAGGGGTTCGTAAGTTGAAGACAAAAGCAGTCTTTTTATAATGAAGTAAATTAAGTAACAATAAATATCTAAATACGACAGTAAGACTGTAGTAGTTGTTTGTTATCAGGCGGTTTTAAAAGTGTCTTACGAGAAACGTATATATTTTTGTTATCATTTAGGGCCACTCGGTAACCCGCAGCAGCGCGGTGTAGTATGGGCTTTTCGCCGTCTTGAACTAAAGCCGAAAACAGCCTTCCCCCCCTCATTTTAGTAAGTATCGTAATAATTTGCAAAATGGTGACTCTTTGAGTGGTGAGCTTCATAGGTTGTAGATTTATTTTTAGAGATTATCGACAGAAAATCTCTCCAAAGCAAGATCTTGCTAATTTTTAAACACTGAAAGAAAATCATCCAAATTATTTTATACCTAAAGCCAGGGATTACTAACTTTTAACTAAAGTGCACATAAATGTTCTCAAAACTCTCCATATTGTAATCCAAGAATAGTATCATTTATGAACCAACAGGCAGGGCGTCGCGTCGTCAACGCGACGGCACGGCACGGCACGGCAGTGCATATTTTAGCGTGCTTTTTCACACCACGCTTACTTTAAATATACCATCCTAATATTTTTGTCGTCCGAGGCCATAGCCCTTTAGCAACTTCTCACCTACGCGACTAGAAACTTGGTTATGTTTTAAATCTCTTTGTGTGAGTGCAAACAGAATTTCTATAATTAATATAAAACGTGTTTTCACAAAACGTTTTTGTTTACGTAAATCGCATCAATATATATATAAATTTTTAATAATATTTCTAACAAGCTTTCTTTATACATGACTTTCATTCACCAAATATTGTCGTTCTAGAATATAAAATCGCTTCAAAATATCGCTTTGCAGGTTACATAAATAAACTAAATATTGCAAATAAAAAACATAAATGAAAAGCATAAAAATAGCACGAAAAGGCAAACACACAAACGCAGCAGAAAACGTTTAGAATAATAAAAGCTATTCATATTTTAAATTCGCAATGATATTGTATCTTATTGTACGGTGTTACAATAATTCAATGAAAATCGTGTAAGTTTAGGTCACGGCTTGTTTAAGAACGTGTGACCAAAGAATCGATAATGTTACTACTTACTACTTAAGTGAGACTTACAAGTACGTAGGCGCAGTGAGTGCAGATTACAGCGACGAGGACAGTGAAGAAGATGCCGGAGATCAACCCCGCGCTTTTGAACGCCTTGGGCATCGCCAGGATGCCGGTACCTAGTGACGCCTTCAGTAGATGAGTTAGTGTATCCATGTTTCTGAAAGTGGTCAAGAATTTTATTCAGTTTACATTTCATCGCTTGAGTAAACGAATTTCTTTTTTTTTTAAATATTTATGGAATTAGGTAATACAAATTCGCTTAGCGATGCTTTTTAGATTTTTAAGGTCTTAGTCTAGTTTTTAGTATTCATAAGGCGACTTGGCTTGGTAGCGTAGTCAATGAACGTATGGCTGCGACGCTATGGCTGTTATTATTTATATGCACAATAGAGTACATATGGAGGATTTAAGAAGATGTCTTGACGGCGTTAAGTCTATATAAACAAATTCCTCTAGTATTCCTGGAAAATAAAATTAAAATAATATTTTTATTACCAAATTTACATCTACAACTGCCATGTCCCTAAGTTTTTTTTTCATGAATAAATTACAAATTTATCGGGCATAAATTAGAGGTATCAGGAGCTTTATATCTAAACAGATAAATAAAATTGAAGTGTCTGTTTGTAATGTCGAAATACCAGCTTTTTACTAAATGCATATGAATGTATATACGGTACTTATAACTATAACTATACAAATAAATAAAATTGAAGTGTCTGTTTGTAATGTCGAAATACCAGCTTTTTATTAAAGGCATATGAAATTATATACGGTACTAAAATTTTTGTCTGACTGTTTGTTCCGGCTAATCTCCGAAACGGCTGGACCGATTTCGGGACTTTCACTGGCAGATAGCTGATGTTATAAAGAGTAACTTAGGCTACTTATATTTTACAAAAATAATTAGAGTTCCGCGAAACATAGTTAAAACCCTAAATTACGCGCGGGCGAAGTCGCGGGGAACAGCTAGTTTAATAATAAAATTGTTGAGTGATAACAATTTTATGTCAAGAGGGATTTTGTTTCAGATTCTAATGGCGTGTCTAATTCTAGCGTGAAAGTGTGATAAGTACGGAGTAATGCGTGAGAAACTTGAGATTATCCGAAGAACGGAGAGAACAATGTTATGGGAATTGAACTAAGTCTATTCTCGAACGAAACAAAAATTTATAATGCCCACAACACAAATAATTTTGCGGAAATTTACTAATGACTATACTTTGAGTGGGACAGTCACGCTTTAAAACGTCCCGCTGCGCTGTTCTCATAATACATAAAAATGTCCCGCTTTAACAAACACGTTGAGGCAGCCCTGTTGCCCGTTGCTTCTAAGTAGTAATATTGTGTATTCATATTATATTTAACACCGCGCATACCATTTCTTTCAGCGCGGCATGACTAAAAGTCATGTCTGAAAAGTGATATTGTTAAGTTAATTTGGGACGGATGGAAGTAGGTATTTAAACACTGCCAAAGTAATCATTTAAAGTGTACGATTTTTTGTAAAATAAACGAGTACATTTTATGTATGTCTGGCAATAACACTTCAGTCGAAAGAGTATTTACCTATATTAATAAAATATGAACTAGAGAAAAAACACAAAAGTCGCAGTGTTATAATGAAGGGTACCCATTTTGATAATAAAGGGTAACGTCAACAAATCATTTCATAAATAACAATCACATTTAAAAACTAAACCACATGGTCAGCGGTAGCGCTTACGACCACTAGACCCACAAGACAGTCAGTTGTGGTCAGGTGTGTTATATATGAGGGCATCCGCGACTTTTTCTGCCACCAGGGCGGCGCCACTTAAAAGTGAGGTATAATATTTGACAGATTTCATAGAGTGGAAGTTAATTTGTTCGGAAAAATGTAAAAGTTAATGTTATATTAATAAGATTAAGCTATATTTTATATTAATAAGATTAAAAATGAATAAAGCAGACCACAAATATTCATAAAAGTAGAAAATATCAATAAAAGTTAAAAATGTACAAAAATTTAAAGAGCAAACCACTAACGCATGTTTTGTGTATTAAGGGGCTACTCCATGCGAACGACCTTGAGCATTTGACCGCTTGCTACAATATTAATATATTGTAGCGAGCGGCTCGCCGGAAGAAATATGTAAGACGCCACCTATTGTACGAAAGTAGTATTATTTTTTCAACATCAATAAACTATTTTATGGAAATACACATAGCGTACAAAGATAAATGTATTTTAATTTTTTTATTCTGTATATATTAGTTGCATTATATTAGAATTATGTATTTTCATATATTATCTAATTATGAAATTTTATAATTAATTATATATTAAAACTGAAGCATTGAAAATTGTGAGTTTAAAAGATACCTATTCACTATAGGTAAATAAATAGATAGCTCGGCTTTTGTACAAATATTTGGTGCAATAAAAAATAAATAAATAAATAGGATGTTTCGCATATGTGTTTTTGATTATTGTTAATTTTTACGTGTCACGTATTGAAAAGTTACCTACTAATTTTTGAACTTATGCTGGCAGATATTATCCTCACCCCAATGATTGATGAGGATGAAAATCAATTTTATTTCTACATACGTAATTATATTTATTTATACATAAGGGTAACTTTAATAAAGGTAATACAAAAATCAACAAGAAGTATAAGGGTTCAATCTTTCAATTTCAGTTGTAAAAAAACGTTACCCCCACACTAGGATTTTCTCCTGTGTCGTGGAGGCAGTTTACAAACATAAATTGCACAAAGACAAACATCCAGACCCGGAACAATTATTTGTAGGCCATACAAATACTTGTTCCATGCGGGATTCGAACCCGCGGCCCCCAGCGCAACAACTGATTGCTAAGCCACTGCGCCACCATGAAGCTAATACAAAGACTAACTTTGTATTTGCTTCATGGTCGCCGGGTTATAGCTAAAGTGACCATACGTCCCGTTTTGAACGGGACTGTCCCTTTTCTCGGTCTCCTGTCCCATTGTCCCCAAACAAAGCTCCGGGACACAAAATTGTCATGTAACTAGTTGGATGGAAGTATTCAAAGTCAACAATCTTCAACATAATTTTTTTTAATCGAATATATTTTATGTCTACCTGGTACGAATGCTCCGGTAGAAAGAGTATTTTTTTATTTTGCATAAATTGTGGACGTCTGAAAGAAACACTTACGGTTCCAGAGTTCTAAAGGCGATGTTGTTAACAAAGATAACAATAAAAAACTTGAGCAGAATTTTATTCTTATTTAAAATCATCACCAACTTTATTAAAGCAAATTTAATCCACTGACAAATGTAATTAATAATTAAAAAAAATATGTTGCATTTAATAATTACCGTCTATACCGAATATAATTTTATAGTGAACACTAATTGTATAAAGTTATAGTTTTTAGAGTATAAATAAACCCATGTCCTGTTATGAGTTAAAAAATAAATGGTCAGTTTAGTCTTTTTAGTTAAATTTAGTTTTAAAAATTTTTAGTTTATAGTAAAAAGTAGGTATATTAGTACTTTTTACCGAATTATAAGTATAGAACACCTTATGTACTCAATTATTTTTTGAAAAAGAAGATAAAACAAGCAATAAATAATATACTATATTTTAGCAAAAAACTATAAATTATAACTTAGAACATAAATGAAAAACTCATAACTGACTTTTTGGCCCGACCCAGGATTCGAACCCGGGACCTCATGATCAGCAGTCGCACTACTACAACCACTAGACCAACGAGGCAGCACTATACCTGATAAGATATTGTGGTTGGGTGATAATATTGAATTAGCCTTTTATAGTGTAAATTATAATATTTGTCGAAATTTTAATTATGGATTCGAACCTTACATGCTAATGGTGCTTCATTTTTTTATTTGCATTTACTTCAAAGAAAATACACGCAAAAAGCTTCATCGCGCAGTAAAAAGCACAACAAATATATGTATAACTAATACGAAAAATTATACCCAAAACAAACAAATAATACTACCTATAAATAACCTAATAAGTAATAATATTATCGACTCATATGACGTGGCGTATGCGTTGGTCGACGCTCTAACGACACGGGCTTCACGTCGAAGAGCTCAGCGCTCACTGACTTCACCAAGCCCGTGAGCAGTAAATATGCCCAGATTTTAAAATAATTTCTTAATAAAATCAAATATTGGTCTTTTGAAAAAAAATTTACTATAGAAATGTTCATTAATAAATTGCCTATCCATTGGTGTAAATCGCAAAATAAAATAATACTTACTTTACGAGGAGATGCATGTTATCAATAATAATTTCACATTTATGTGGTTTCGTTGGAAGGAGATTATATTAATATTTATTCCTTTAAAAAAAAATTGGATATAGCTTTTATGGAATCAAGATTATGTAGAAATATAATGTGTTTTTTATTTGTTGATATATCTTTTAAATAAAAAGTAGATAGCTTCTAAAAACTGCCCAAATAACGACTGGCGCGACATTTTGCTCAACCTGCGCCTTAATATAATACTTTAGAAATTGATAAACTTCTTAATTAAATGACATTGTGTAACAAAAGCTTTACCTCAGTGTCAACTAGAGACATCTGGTGAGCAGAAAATTACTATCCCTCATTATTTGATCCCATGTTTTATTTAATCTTATAGAAAAAAATATACATAACTGTATGATGTACAATATTGTACAGTGGCCGTGGCCTGTTGTTGAAACGTTTTGATTAATATTCCTAATGTAATATTAGAACAATAGTACGTAAGTGCTTAAAGTATATTCATAAAATAGCTGAGCAAATAAAATAGCGAAAACAGAGCGCTCCGATAGTATTAGCAACTTGAGAAGTGTCTCAGCATAGCGATACACGGGTTTAGGGTTATCTCATGTAATAAATCTAATTGCCCATTCAAAGTTCAAATATTGCGTTTCATAACATGCGAAAGAAAATATATGTATTGTAAATGTAAATAATATGCAGTGTATATAATCAAATTGGAATACCCATACGCTAAATTAATTCCAAATTGTTAACGAAAAACCACCCTACTTATCCTACTAACCTTGCTAATATTATAAATGTGAAAGTTTGTGAGGATGTATGGATGTTTCTTACTCTTTCACTCAAAAACTACGGAATGCATTAAAAAAAAAACTTTACAATAATATTGCTCATATATCAGAATGACACATAAGCTATAATTTAAAAAAATAATGTGTATATTGGCCAAAATATAAAGATAAATGTTAAGTTTGAAAAAAATCTGTCATCTGCGAGCTATTTTGGCGTGAACACACATCACGCAAAAACCTGTGGACCGATTTGCATGGCACTTTCACTGGCACATAGCTGATAATATAAGGAGTAACTTAGGCTACTTTTATTTTAGGGTTCCGCGCGAAAAATTTCCACGCGGGCGAAGTCGCGGGGAATAGCTAGTTGTAAATATACATGCCTTCCTAGAATACACATTATGTTGTAAATGTACATCATAATGTGTATTCTAGGAAGGCTTGTTGATTACAATATAATTGTTTGCCTAATTAAAATGGGGCAAATTAGGCATGACTTCGCATAAACCATTAAGATATAAATAAATTAGATCCAAAACGAGAGGAAGTATTGTATTATTGTATTGTATTATTATTATCCAATTTGCCCTGCCCTTGTCATATTCGTGCAATCCTGTCCATTCATTGGTTGTCTGGAAGAAATTGCAATCAGCAATAAGACCGCCCATTGCATACTTCTTTTATATATAGAATTTCTGTAATTTATGTATGGTGTGCAATCATCATCATCATCATCATCATTACAGCCTTTCATAGGTCCACTGCTGAACATAGGCCTCCCCCAAGGAATGCCACAAAGCACGGTCCTGAGCCACCTGCATCCATCGACTTCCTGCATGTCTTACCAGATCGTCACTGCATCCCGTGGGGGGTCGCCCTACACTTCGCCTACCGGTACGAGGCTGCCACTCGAGAACCTTTCTTCCCCATCGGTTGTCGGTTCTTCGAGCTATATGATAGGCCCACTGCCACTTCAGCTTACTAATCCGTTGGGCTATGTCGGTTACTCTGGTTCTACTGCGGATATACTCATTTCTAAGTTTATCACGCAGAGAAACTCCGAGCATAGCCCTCTCCATAGCTCGCTGAGCGACCTTGAGCTTGCTCATACAGCCAGCAGTGAAGGACCACGTCTCCGTTCCGTAAGTCATCACTGGCAACACGCACTGGTTGTACAATTTCGTTTTAAGGTTTTGAGGTATGTCTGACGAGAAGATGTGTCGTAGCTTCCCGAGCGCTGCCCAGCCGAGTTGAATCCGTCGATTGACCTCTCGGTCGAAGTTGGATTTACCTAGTCGGACTATTTGTCCCAGGTAAACATACTCGTCAACAACTTCGAGCTTAGTGCTCCCAACAACTACCGGCATAGGTGTGACATGGACGTTAAACATAATCTTTGTTTTGTCCATGTTCATCTTAAGACCTATCCGTTGGGAGACACTATTGAAGTCATTGAGCATAGTGCTTAGGTCCTCCAGCGATTCTGCCATAAGGACTATATCGGCGGCAAATCGAAGGTGTGTGATGTACTCGCCATTGATGTTAATACCGTATCCTTTCCAGTCCAGAAGTTTGAAAACGTCTTCCAATGCAGCGGTGAAGAGTTTCGGGGATATAACATCACCCTGTCTTACACCTCTCTGCAATTGGATAGGTTTCGTACTCTGGTTCAGTACTCGGATAGCCATCGTAGCTCTACTGTACAAACACTTCAGCACTTCGATATACCGACAGTCAACTTGGCACCGCTGAAGGGACTGCAGCACCGCCCATATTTCGACGGAATCAAAGACTTTTTCATAGTCCACATACGCCAGACATAGCATATGGTGTACAATAAAGAATATTAAATAAAATAAATAAATAAGTATGCTATAATACTAATTTGTTATTTAAGAGACTGGCGGTAGGGCTGCACCAAGGGTCGGCACTGAGCCCTTACCTCTTCCTACTGATTATGGACGCTTTGACGTCGGACCTGCAGGATGAGGCACCCTGGTGCATGCTCTTTGCCGATGACATCGTGCTTGTCGGGGAAGAAGGCATCGAGGTACAGAGCAGACTGACGGGGTGGCAACGGAGGCTGGAAAGTGTTGGCTTGAAGATCAGCAGATCCAAAACCGAATATCTGTGCTGTGATTTCGGCGGTCTTTCCAGTCCTGTACCCATGTCGTTGGATGGCGCTATACTGCCTATCTGCTCAGATGTCAAGTACCTCGGTTCCCTCATTCAAGGCGACGGCGGAATAGATAGAGCTGTGCAGCATAGGATTAACGCAGGGTGGATGAAATGGCGACAGGTCACAGCCACAACGTGCGATCCCCGAATGCCAATAAGGCTGAAGGGGAAAATTTACAAATCGATCATCCGACCTGTCGTCATGTATGGAAGTGAATGCTGGGCCGTCAAGAAGAAGGATGAAAATAGACTGCATGCGAATGAAATGAGAATGTTACGATGGATGTGTGGTGTGACAAGGATGGATAAGATAAGGAATGAGTATATAAGAGGAAGCCTGAAAGTAGCGCCAGTGGTAGAAAAGGTGAGAGGAAGCAGATTGGCATGGTTTGGGCATGTGATGCGGAGGAATGAAAGTCATGTCACAAAACGAGTGTTGAATATGAATGTGGAGGGACACACGGGCAGAGGAAGGCCGAATAAAAGATGGATCGATTGTGTGAAGAGTGATATGAGAATGAAAGGAGTAAGTATGGAAATGACGGCTGATAGAGAGGAATGGAACAAAAAGATTTACTGCGCCGACCCCAGATAATGGGAAATGGTTTAGAGAATGATGATTATTTAAGAGACTATAACAACATAACAAAATGCTTTATATTTCTCTTTGTTTTAAGCTGATGAGTGATCAGCGGTTTACTATTATAATTACTAATTACTAATAAACATTGTTACAAAAATACAACAATGCTCCATACGCCGTACATGCGCATTTCCAGATGTTTTTACATATCCGATGATCATCATGATAGATTTAGAGAGATTAAGAGATAATTGCAGACACATTTTTAAGATAAAAAGTAGATCTTATGTAAACATAAGTTGGCCACCTCTGTCTGTTCCTATGTATAAAACCTAAGCACACATCATATCGTATAATTATAAATGAAAATAATTTTCTAAAAATGGAAGTCTTTTTAAGAGTATGTTTTCATGCTCATTACCCGAATAGATTAAAAATAGAAGCTTGCAAGATTTTTATATATTATTTTACAAGTTACAGGTTTTCATCGTGAATAAAAAAATACTTTGTATTCGAATCGACGTGTCAAAAATTTTGTGTTTTAACCTTCTCAGTTTTTGCCAAGATATTCGCAGTAGAGTTTTAAGTCATTTACAGAATACCTACAATAGAACATTACCAAACGATGTCGCTCTAAAACAAAACAAAAAAATTGATGACATTAGAATTTTCAGTGGCAGCCTCGTACCGGCATATTTAATGTTATATACGAAGGATTGTGTGAATGTTATGTTCTTCAGTTGTGATAATTTTGAAACAGATTAAGTCTTCTGCGATAGACCCAACAGGCACTCGATTTTTGCGACTACTTACGTAAAACGTAATAAAGGATTTAAGAAAAAAAAAACTTATTTAACTTATTTAATTCTATTTATTAATTCTAAGTCGTTTTTATAAATAAGAGTTGTAACTATTCGACTGTCTGACTCAAAAGTTACCTGATAATAAGTTTCTAAGCACAAGACAAGTAAAAAATATTATCGTTCGCTTCGCAGTCTTATCAAAAACGCGTGTCGCAAGCTGTTAACTAAAGGAATGCAAGCAATTTTCATTTACCTATCTGTTAATTTGCCATTGCCAACATCGCAAAGCCGTGTTTTAAATGTAAAGTGACCTTAACACGTTCAAACACTCATTTTATTAATAGTTCCCTGTAATAGACTCATCCGCAAGAATAGTGCGGTAAACTAATATGGATTATGCATCGTGTGTTGTCACTTACACAGTTCACCTGAGTATAGATAACATGATGTGAAGAATATTTTAATAGTACAGTAGCAAATCAAGAAAATACTTACGAAGTCGGATTGTCCAGCTTCCGTTCTGTGAACGGGTCGAAGTCGGCCGACTCCACATCTTTGGTCATGTTGTATCTGCAAACGGAAAATGTAAGTAAAATATAGGCTAAACTTCTACACGATTTTCTGATCTTTAGAGTGCAATAAAGAGAGATATAAACATAGGATATGTATGACGGCATGACAGATTCATTCGTTCGACAATGTTGCTTGGCGGACATCATATCACGTCCTTTTACGTCGTACTGCTACAACATATTATGGATACAATACTACACAAAAATTAATACTACCGGGGAAGGATCACGCTCTCGCAGAGTATCAGCGTTAAAGCAGCGTAGCAGCAGAATTATGCTACTAGCATAATTCTGCGTTCATATGGTGATAGACGTGTACCGGTGATCCTTTTTACTGGTTACTACTTACTAGGCACCTCAAGCAAGGATGACCCACATTATGAATCTTATACGAGGGTAGGAGGACACAGAATTTTTTTCCATTAGTTAGACACTCGTTTGTCACCCTTAATCGTATAAAAATAGTGTTGTTCATGTTTCGCTATCGCGCTTAAGTAAAGAATCAAGCAGAAAAAACTAGCATACAATGAATTTCAAAGTCGTGTGGATTGTTTATGAAATAAATCACGTATCAATATTATTTTTTAATGTGCCGTCTAAAATTAATTTTCGATACAATGCAATATATTTTATAATTATATAATTTTTGATACAATACAATATATTTTATAATTATATAATTTTTGATACAATATAATAATCTTGTCTATTGTACACCAAGTTGTAACGTTCAGGCAGGTTCTTATAATTGGGAATGATAATGACCGCACATTTTGAGTTAGTAAGACATTTAGAATATTGAAAGCCGCTCTAACAACGTTTCTCATCGTACTCCAGTCATCTTCCTCTTCCTTCATCAATAAGTCTGTTTCAGCTGTACGCTGTTTCTGCTTGCTGTTTCTTCAAAAATCTACCAAAACTTTTTTACTTGGAGCTCTAATATTTTCCATCATACTTTCCTGTCATTTTTTATATCGATCTTACTTTTCCTAACTGTCATCATTTTGTGATTATATTTTTTTTATAGGAGAGGGGCAAACGAACATGCGGCTCACCTGATGGTGACTACCGTTAAATAAAACGCAGTAGAGGACAAAAATAATAATATGTGTATTTCGATGAAGACGGATTTGGAGCCACTTGAGTTTAGTGAGGTGTTCGAAGATATGGTTATTTACAAAGTCCAAATTAGAGCCGTATACAGAGATTTTATAGTCGCTCAAGTTTGTTAAGGTTGGGTGTTCCAAGCGCATTTACAGGCGGTCGTCGCAAAGATCGAGTCGGGCCGCGCATGTGATCGTGATTTTTACAAAATAATCACAAAAATATTGTTTTAAAGTTATAAGCAATGGGAAATAAATACACAAATAAAATCTTATATAAGTTCCATAAAAATATAGTTATTTACAATTTATTTTATTTTCTAAATACTATTTACGTAGCAAAAGAGAAGAGCGCGCGCAAAAATTTTGTACAGGTCTCGTCCCGTGGAACACAGCCAGCAAATGACACGACGGTTCGAAAATCACTTGAATTGAATCTTTATTCGATATTTTTTTTAAATAAAAGTAATGGAAAAAACACGATCGGGTAGAATTTTATTTTTTACCTATAAATTTATATTATTTATTGAAAAAAGGAATATTAGTACTTATTTAAAATAAAATTTGGCATGTAAAAAACTGCGAATCGAACGTAGTTTGTTTTTTTTTTTCTATCGAGAAAATTATATTGTATCGTCCATTGACCGGGTACATTGTAAGGAGAAAGAATGTATCTAAAATATATTTTTTTTCATATTCTATATGTAATAATTTGCTTATCAAAAACCAATTTTAAAACGGACAAAAACAGGAACACTCAGCCTTAAGTAGCTCTTTGTGATATCGAGGTAACAAATGTCAGCATAGTCGAGGGACTATAGGTCCATAGGGAGTAGTAAAGATTGAGCAAGTAATTTGAATGTAAATAAAGCAAGAACAATTACAGGCAAATGTTGTAAAAGATGCATTTTTGATCGCACATGATAAAGTAGGTATTGAGAATTTTGAGGCGTAAGGATTCCCAATAGAAATTTTATGTAGCGTTCTCATTTGCTCTTACGAAATATCATCGTCCTCAAATAAACATTAGAAAAAAAACGTGTAAATTTTATAAAAATCATTAAATAAAATTATATGTATATAATTTGCTATTATAGTGCCACTTAGAATAGTGCCATAGCATTATAGTGAAAGAAATGCACATTTCTGTAGCTTAACTTACACAGCATTGCATTAGCGGGAGAGACACCTTTAGTAAAATCGCATAGGATTTTATTTTTATTAATATTTTAATTCAATATTGAAATAGTATTTCTGGCATTTTAAAGAATTTACGAAGAATCGATGAAAGCTTTCAACTAGGTCGCCATTATAGTGGTATAATCAGTAGATCAACTAGCTGCTAGAATTGTTTACAATAGAGGCGGATAATGTGATGAGGCCGTATATAGCCGAGAAACCCTTCAAAGATCGCCATCGCGCAATAATAATTAACGACGCGATGTATAGGTTAGCAAATTTCAATCTCACCTTGGCACACATTTATGAAGTAAAAATAGTCAGTCACAAGTAAGTTTCTTAGAAATTTACAAGTTCAACAATTTGTAAACTATGCGTATTTGTGATACTGTAAACTTTTTAATTTTAGTAGAATTGTTTTTAATTTCGAACTTTATTAATGGAAAATGCGATAAAAATTCCATAAAGGTAGATCTCATCTTTTACACATCTTAATATTTCTTATTGCCCAGTGCGATCTATTCTTTTATTGTTTAGTGCAAGTTACATTCATAAAGTTTTTTTTTTTAAATATAAAATACTTTAATTCAAATCATCATAATTACAGTGTTTCGCAATTCTACAGCTGAACATAGGTCTTCCTCATGTAAAACCATAAAGCCCGGTCCTGAGGTATCTCCATCCATCGACTTCCTGCGAGTCTTACCAGGTGGTCTCTCCATCTAAAGGGGCCTCTTTTTGCTTCTACTGCGGATATCATTGTTACGAATTCTATCAAACAGATGAACTCCGAGCATAGCCCTCTCTATGCCTTCTAAGCTTTCTTACTCCCATTCTATTAACATTCTAGCATTAAGGTGTTCGACACATAATTTAAATTATAATATAATGCTTGTGGAGAAAATGAAGCTGTAGGTACTTTAATTTATGTATTTTCTTTAAAATGTAAGTATTTAATATAAAAACTACTTAATTTAATAACAAACACATAAAATGTTAAGTACCTAACATTTATTTATATTGCAGGTACCTGATATGTACTTATTAAATGTTTCTAACGCTTGTGTGTGAACTTAAAATAACTTACTTGCTGACGATTTTTTCTTTGTTCCTCTCATCCTGAGGTAGGAATGTCTCGAGCTCCTGCGGCGGAGGCACGCCGCCATTCGATTCCTGTATCAAACAACGATATTAAATTACTTCACACATTTCATCTTATGACATTTGAACACCATATTTCTAAGAATGAGCTACGTAACTGGCAGGCAGGAATGTAAAAGAAAGCCAATCGTTTCTCGGTATAAAAATATATTAATGTTACCTAAACAAAAGAATACGTGGATTTTAATATTGAAACTTGTTTTCATAATATTTAAATATAACATATTTGTTCCATTTGATGTAGAGACTATCGGTCTGTGGGGTCCACGTGCGGTGAAGTTCCTAGAGGAACTCCATCCGAGGCTGGTCGTTGCTGCTGGTGATAAGAGGGCTGGTTCTTTTCTCGCTCAAAGGCTAAGTATAGCCATTCAGCGGGAAAATGCAGCCAGCGTTCTTGGCACGATACCGCGGGGAGTAGGACTGTATGATAATTAAATTACTAGTTTTTTTATTATAGTTTTTAATATTGTACTATTAATATATTTTATTATATATAATAAAATATTGTATATTACTATAATTTTTTACAGTAATATAATGTTTTGTAAAATTACTTTCATAAATAAAAAGCATACAGCAAATGACGACCCTGTGACTTATAGGTGATCGCACTTGTCTGTTGAATCATAAGTCCTAAATTCGACCCTAGTCAGAGTCAACACTTATGCCGGGGCACTAATTACTCGCATATTGAATTTCCAGTCTATACTGTGTGCTGTCAGTACATGTGCCACCTAAAGTGAAGATTGTTACAATCAACAGGCCCATCTCGCTACGACTTGCTGAAAATAGTTTGTGGTAAATGAATTAAAGATCGGGCTACTTGGGATTTTCGTTTTAATTTTGACTATTTGTTGAATTACAATAGACATTGGATGCCGGTTGGCGATGAGATAGTTGGTCATCACTTGTCTCAGACAGTTCATTATAAATTATCTCCTATTTTTTAAGCGAGCGCTCATATTAGGTAATAGAGATCAAATTTTGCCCGAACGAGAAGCCATGATTAGAACTTGTAATAGGAGAACTGCCACAGGTTGCAGAAACAGGCAATTCGCGATTCACTTTGCATACATTTTTCATATACTCACATTAACCATTGTGTCGGTCGGAATGGCACTGGTTACCTGCGACCAGAATTAATTTTCCGCTTATCTGAAAAGAAATTAAGCGTATTAAATAATATGAAGTAGTTATTATGATTCCTCATCATCATCATTGTAGCATCATAGGGAGGATATTTGCTATAGCTGATTGGCACGCGTGGCAGGAGGGTTAGCAACCGCAATTGTATTACTACTTTGAGTTGTTCTCAGGGAGATACTGCATCGAATATTACGACACACAGGTCGTGTAAGACAACCCACTAACCGATAATACCATCCTGTGGGTTAAATATATATCAATCCAGGAATAATTAAATATTATTATTTTTACGATAGTCGTGTCGTGTCTGATCGTGGAGGCTTGGACATGTCACACTACATGAAATTGCTAATTGCAATTTTAAGTGTTCATTTACTTGACTTTAGGCGGCAAAATAAATAAAAAGGAACAAAAATATTTGAAAAACATGTGAAGTCCGAAAAGACGCGTTATAGCAGCGCGGCGGATTTAATGTTCTATAGCCGCCTTTGAAACGAGAGATTGGTATGTGTCGGTGCCAAGCAGTGAGACGCACATAGAGCTTCACCTTTATCAAACGACTTTAAAAAAGGAGGAGGTTCTCAATTCGACTGTACTTTTTGTGTGTTACCTCAGAACTTTTTCTAAGTGAACCGGTTGATGATTGTCGGTTGATTTTTATTTGAAAGCTGGTGCTTCTCATGCATGCAATAAATTTGATCAAGATCTAACTAGTAGTTTTTGAGTTTTCTTTAATAATGCGTATTTAATTGACTTCGACTACATTGATGATGTTCTTATTTATTTATATTGAAGTCGGTTGTACAAAATGTTTAATTTAACCACTTGTTATTATTATAAGTTTAAAATAAACGCAATAATATCCGCAAAATTTGTTTAATTCAATGTGTTTCATGGAAGCGGATAAACAAGTAGCGAGCTATTTGCACTTTGCAGGGCGCTAATGACGTATTGCTACTACTGCAATAATGGATTTGAGTATTTTTAATTTAGTGTGTAAGAGTTGGTAGTACCACTATTTATCGGAGGTAATAAGATTCCCTTTAGTCGTCTCTTAAGACACCCACGGAATGAAATGGGGTGAAGATTCCCTTACATCGCCAACAAAGTGCAAATAAGTATAATATTATATTCGCAGCGACAGCTCCTATCTGTAAACTTGGACACTATTTAAATACAAAATTTCATCTAAATCGTTATGGCCGTTTTCAACAAACCGATTATACAGGGTTATTTTTCAAAGAGAAATTGTATAATATAAGTTCAAATATACATAAATTGTTATTAATAGAAAAACCGTTATTGCAGATTTTGAAAATAAAAATAAATAAGGCTTTCCTATCTTTATTTGTAATTATCTAAAATCGAATAAGATTTATGGGCAACAACTACGCGCTCCTGCGGTTTAATTCACGTTTTTGACGAACGAGAGACCCTTACGAATGTGTGCGGGCGTAGTAAAATAGTAGGCGTTAGATATTTATGAATGATAATCTGTTTAAGTAATACATTAACACGCACTGTGAATTTACAAGATAAAAAGGATAGAATGTTTGAGTTTTTTTTTAAATAAATTTTCTTTACCATTCGCCTATATTGCTTATTCTGTACCTTCTCTGCTGGGTGTATATTGCAAAATAACCCTACTGTATACTGACATAAAATATACAAGAATTGCTCGCTTAAAGTCCTATTTATGCTAATATATTATAAGAATAATATTATTACATAATGAAAAATAGATAACTACATTTTTGTATATTTTAACTATGCATGAACTACTTGTTAAGCGAAAATGTATAACAAGCGACTTAACAAGATCAAGGTTTCGACATCCAGTTTTAGAATCTTGTCTGACCGAGTGGCATTAGCTATTTGCATAAATACCCACTTATTTATATATCATGCGTGTTCAAAACTGTAAGCTCAGATATATGGTAACTCCCTAGAGGTTTGCCATATTTTTCATAACTGGCAAGCGGATTGGCGATTTCGGCACCAGACGTCTTGCACGCATCCTTAATATGAGTAACATCAATATCATAATAACTTAGAACCAATCTTAACAGACTCGAGCACAAGCGCAATGTAGCCAGTCTTTCGGTTTTTTACACGATTTATTTCGGAGTGTGCGCAGGTATCGCATGACTTAATTTCTCCGATTCCAATCCATGATCGGACAAACAGACGCTCGGCTGGTTTCCACCCCTTTGCTGTCGACATAACACGCATTCGAACCAAACGGTTGGCTTCGTCGTTCATAATGCATGCAGCAAATGGGTGGAATAATCTGCCAACAAATGTTTTTCCATCTGTTTATAGTGTAGGTGCCTTCAAGCCAAGAGTGAAAGCTTTTGTTAAAACAGGGCACTTTACCATCTTCGGCTGCATCACCACTGACCATCAGGTGGGATAGTGGTCGAACACAGGTTAAAAATAAATAAATATGCTTCTGGCGTCATATCAGTGTTTCCACTTTAATGTTTTTGCTCCCACGCCGTAATTGATCATTCCCCTTTTTTGAGCAGTTTTTCCCTCGTTAACTTTGTAATCTTTATATATAAAAATTACGTGTTACGTTGTTTGTCCGCGATGAACTCCTAAACTACTGAACTGGTTTCTATGAAATTTTTCAAACTGTGTGCAGTTTGGTCCAACTTGAGAGGTAGGATAGTTTTTATCCTGATAAGTGACACTCAATATTTTTTATTACAAATTTAAGGATTTTTTTATATGAACGGTCGTCGAAAAGGGCAGAACAAGGTCTGCCTGGTCAGCTAGTATAATATAAATATTTTGTCAAACAATATGTATTTAATACCAACATATTTATTTTGTCGAGACGAAGACGATGTTGAGAAGGTTCATAGTTAGGAGAATAGGGTATGATATGTGGATATATAAACCTGCATTTAATTATATTTGTGACTGTTATAGATGACATTTGTGTGAATATTATGGCTTTTGCAATTGTCAAGAAATATTATCTATATTAGTTTTAAAATGATATTAATTTACTCACGATTTCCCCTCTATAGTTATTTCCCCTCTTTCTTCTCCTCTGGTTTTGAAATTTCCCTTAAAGGGGTATTTATAATATCCCTTCATTGTGAAAACACTGGTCAAGAAGTCAAAAAGCCTTTTACTGCACCTACGGGAGGTAATAGGGTGATGGATTTTCTTTACGCAATCGCAATCACACAGCTTAAATATAACGTAAGGTATATTTTTAGGTATAAATAATAAATTATTATTTATTTCATATCTTCTAATTAAACAATAAAAATTCCATGTAGGGGCGATGTAAGTATATCCACTACCCCTTAGTCTCGTGGCTGTCGTAAAATGCGACAGAGGGAAGCAAACCAGATGTGGACCACCTAATCACAACTAAAAATAAATATCTGTGATTGCTATCCCGCCAGCGTAACGTGGCAACTATAGTAAATAATATCCCCTCTATGAGGCAATCTATGATACCTACTTAAAAGCTTTTTATGTGGTTTTCAATTTGTATTAAACACTTTTTAAGGAAGGTTTTTAATTTTTATGTATAATACATATATTAAGGAATGATAGTAGAAGAAAAATTTTATGATCAAGCCGTAATAACATAACATCGCAGAGGTGAAACGTATACGTGCAGCTACGCTGCAGCTATATTATGGTTGTAGCACAAATGGGTCGGCTCGACCGGGGAAGGACCACGCCCTCACAGAATACCAGCAGGAAAATATCTGCTTAATGCTGCTGTGTTTTGTATGGTGAGTTTAGAGCACCGAATATCCTTTTTACTTGAAAAAAGCATTACATCTTAGTCATCAGGTCGCAACTGCATTTTGGAGGTCTTCATAATCACGTGGACTGTGTACTCGTTTGTCACCTTGATGCTAATAAAAATATCCCTGTGTATCCCTAATGTTATGTATATTTTTTATTATAATAACACAATACCGCTTCTAATACAGGTAAAGCACAGTACCACAGTCTAAATAATAGTTAGTGTAAGTAACGTAAATGTGTGCGTAAAGTCAAGAGACGCCGGTGCGAACGATATGGCGGTGTGTAATGCATGCCGTACTAGGCACTTGCAAGTGATGCCGGTGAGAACGATGAGCCGGAGCAAGTGCCAGGTATTCCCTTGTAGTCTTCGGTTAGTCGAGAAGAAGGCAGCTAATCTGCGAGAGTGCCGTGAAGCAGAGGCGACCAGTAAGGCTCAGAGCCGTGCCTACATAACATTGTAGCGCAGCGAGTAGCTTGATGGAACAGGAAGCATTAAGCTTAGTATTAAATTTATTATTTATTAAGCAAGATTATTCCAGTGCTGCGATGAACCTGCAGACAATATCTGCTCGGGAGCTAATGAATGGGGTACTTCAGGACGATGACGAAGGTTTTTGGAGTTGTAGTTTCCGAAGGTGGTTGAGTGTTCATATCACGTCGGGGTCACCACTGTGGCGGGTCGAAAAAAAAGGGGAGATCTCCCGCCAGGCAAGGTGTTCTGCCAGGGGAGCGGCCAACGCTCCGATTGGTAGTTCGGAGCAATTCTATAAATTATACTGCTTTAACTTCGGAACTTTGTTAGCGCGATTTAGGCTTCAATGTGTTTCGCTTGTGGCGCGACGACAGCGCCGCTACAGTCGTATATTATTATTGATAAACGTATTATATTATTGATTAATAAATACGATTAAATGAATTACGAACTATTAAAATGAAGCAGAGAGTTAAAGTTTAAAGTTAAGTTAACTATTAAAATTAAGCGACCCCCCACGAGATGGAGTGATGACCTGGTAAGACATGCAGGAAGTCGATGGATGCAGGTGGCTCAGGACCGTGCTTTGTGGCATTCCTTGGGGAGGCCTAAGTTCAGCAGTGGACTTATGAAAGGCTGTAATGATCATGATGAAAATGAAGCATCATTTAAATATATATTTCTTTCATGGCTAGATAAGAAAAAGTGCGAGGGAGATGGATATTATTCCATCTCGCTTCCTTATAGTAGCCAA